ATCTCAATTCTAAGCTTTACTTAGATCGAGTTAGGTCAGTAATTTCTAATCTGGCCTTGGGTTATTGTGGAGGACCTTGCAAACTAACCCAAAACCTATATCACCGTTGAAGTTCTCCTATAATTGCTTGCTGTTGGGATTCATTGAGTCAACATTTTCCTCTGTATATGTTCTTGTGGAGGTCTAAGATCTGATATCCAGAGAATAGAAAAGATAAATATACATCCTGGCAGGTCATGGTTCAAACGGTTCAACAAAAGGAAGATGACAAAACTTTATTCTTACATTTATAGTTGCTTTTACAAATAGGGATTTGAAAAAAATCACAAAAGGAAGATGACAAAACTTTATTCTTACGTTTATAGTTGCTTTTCCATATCCAAGAATCATAGTTTTGTTAAGTATACCAAATACTAACAAGTGCTGGGCCAAACCCAGTTCTGAACTGGGCAGCGGTCTGAAAGGTCAGAGAGTGCTGGGGTCATGTCAATTATGGGTCTGCCAACACTTCCTGTTCCTGAAATGCTTATTCATCGTAAGCAACTGCATCATGAGCATTGATTGACCAGCAAGTGTTTCAGTTGATCTGGTCCTTAATCGACTTGTTAACCGACTAGTTGACCATTAGGTTGACACTTTTTTTTGCAGGATCACTAGGTTGACACTTGGCACTAGATTGAACCAGACCCACTTTTATAAGACAAACAAATCATAAAGTGAATTTATTATCTCTTCTTATTCTATTTTATTGGAATAAATGGTACACTTAATGGAAGAAATATTTACAACAAAAATCTGTGCCCACTGCTCTGAAGGACTCAACTCTACCATTGAATCAAGAAGTTAATTAGAGTGAAGAAGACCTTAACCTCACCAAGTGTGAGGACAAATATTTCCCAACCCAAAGAATGGTGAAACTAATCAGGTGACCCAAAGCCAGGACCATGTTCTGTAACAAGATCAAAGGTTTCCAATGTTTTGACTTGAGGGGGTGGTGCTAACCCTTGCATCTTCATCATACAAAAGTACTTTGTGGGCACAATTGCCCCAGCTTGTAAGCAAAGCTCCACCACTGCTGGAGCATGCCCATAAAAATCTCGCCCCTTATCCAAGAGCACTGGAGGATCCTGAGGTCGCCGTCGCCACACAATCTTAGGAGGTACAAAATCATCCACTTTTGCTCTCTTCCAGAAATGGATCCCACGCCAACCTTCATGCTTGAACACTCCACAAAGCCGAGCCCTGTGCCCAGATGGCCCCACATGAACTTCTGAGCAGTACTTGCAAACCTTTGCTGGATAAACCAACAACAACTTCTGGACACCTGATCTCAGCCTCTCCCATGCCCCTAAAGTTTCTTTTGCAACAAACCTCATCTCATCTTGTGACAAAGGCACGGCATTAAAGACTTCATGTTTACTGGTGTCAGGTGTCCAGATAATTGAGTCTAAATTTTCATCATTAATATGAGCTCCAGCTTGACAGCACAGCTCCACGACTGCAGGGATGCGATCAAAATCAAATCTTTGCTCATGTTTTATGACATCTTGGAACATGTGTTTTAGGTGGAAAGCATCAACAGGGACAAGGATATCATTCAAGCTACCATTAATCCATTCATGAAGCTGGTTCTTGGCACGTCTCTTGTAACCATGACAAGTCTGAATCATGTGCCCTCTCTCTCCAATAAATACTTCTGGACAGAACCTACAGAGATGTTTTAGGAACCACATAAGAACAGGGAGTGGACAGTAGAAAATTATGTATATATCATTCATTCCTTTGTTCAATTAAACTATGGTCTACCAAGAAAAAAGTTAAATATTTGAAAAATAAAATAGAAACCCGTCATTTCAAGAGAAGGCAACCTCCCCTAAAATAAGGATTAAAACTTGCAATTTTGTAAACTGCTCTAGGTGACTTAAAGTTTTCAAGTGGCTTAAGATGAAGTCTTTATGGTAGTAGAAGGAATGGACATCAAAGAACTTCATGTATTTCTCCATTGTCCAGTTTTACATCTATTTTGCATCTTTAACAAAGCTCTCAGATTGTACTACTCAAACAGTGGGACTTGGCAACCAAAGCCACCTAGTAGAAACATGATATGTCCAGAGGCAAACAAATGTTAACAATTTGGCCTATTCTTTGCAACGTTTTGTCAATAATGAATTGGTGTTAGATGATGCAGACTTCTATAACTCTTAAATTGTACAAAGCCTCAATCTACTATGCTCATTAGTCATTCCACATAGAGGAACTTCTATTTCTCATTTGTTTTGTTTTCACAAACATTTTAATACTTTTCCCCTCATTTTCCAAATCTTCATAAAGCTCAACTGCTTTTGTCAAGTGCTGGATCTAGTCTTAAGTCAACTCAGATTTGGGAATTGGGACCGCAAAATATGTTCCAAGTTTTGCATGATTTGTTTGCAACTTGTTTTACATCTAAATAAAATGTCCTATAAACAAAATTCGCTAGACAAATTATCAAAAAAATGATTATCATTACACTTATTAATTGAAATATGGGAATAGTTTAGTTTCCCAAATACTTGCAAAACTATCAATCAGTTCAAGTAGATTCAGGATTTTGCACCTAGAGCAAGTATAGGTTACACTAAACCAGGTAAAGTCATGTTTCTGGTTGAAGAGTTATTGTGAACAATGCAACAGTTACCAATAAGGACTTGAATGACATTGCAAATGAGTAATAGGAAATAGTACTGCTGGGCTTACTTGCATGCCTTGACAGGAATGGCTTTGAGAAGCATGGAAAGACCTTCTATAAGACGTGCTCTGGCCCTAATGACTTCATATGCAACAGGTACCATTCCGCGGACTGGATAGTTCTTAGCTCTACTTTTTATTCTTTCAAGAATCATTGGCCTTAGCTTATCCCAGTCGACCTTGGAACTGTAGCTTCGTGAACTGGTGAGGTGATAATTATAGTCTTCCAATAAATGATGCCAAATTTTGGACCTCCAAGCCATGTGAACTGTAGCAACAGCTGAGATGAATAGAATATCCAAGAATAAATTTCTAACTTTGGCAATAGTTCCACCTTATAATACAACTGAAACAAAGAAGGAAAAAATGAAAATTGTCAAAAAAAGCAATATATTTTATAGCTGGTGTACAACAAAACAACAAAATAGCAACATATCTAATAGCTGGTTTATAATAGAAGAGAAAAAACCAATTAAAATATGATCTAATCCCACTTCATAACTTCTGTATAAGTGCACAAGAACAACAGATAGATCAAATAACCCTAGATAATTAAACATGATTAGGAATAACAAATAACAAATTCCTCAATCCTCATAAAGATAGCTATAAATGAGAAAGTAGGCAAATTAATAGAGAAATCATCACACAAATAGAGCCCTTGTATGTGGATATCTGTCATATAGAGACACACAGTTTTTTATAAGAATGGAAGTTGAGATTGCGATAAAAAAACACAAGAGAACAACTTGAAATTGAACTAAGAGCCCTCCTCAAGAGTTTTTTTTTCCTGCTAAAAGAGTTTCAGTGAAGAAAAGCAATTGCGAGAGAGGAGAAATGAGAGACTCAAGAGCAGAGATGAGAAGTGAACCTTCATGTTGTACGATGCACATGGTCCACAAATAGGGTTACTCCACTCCCACCATCTGCAAAGCTTATTTGTTTCCTATGGTCGTTACTTAATTTGTTAAAAACTTCCATGGCCATGCTTTGGTTCCAGAGAAATGGTGCTTGAAACCTTTTTTTTTTTTTGATAAATGAGAGTAGTTTTATTAATTCAAATAGCAAAAATACAAGGGTAAAATATAAAAGCCTCCCCTATAGTTTCATTTTAACAAATACCTCCCCTGATCTTTTAAGAAACTCAACAAAAACCTCCCTTCCGTCACTGTCCCAGACGGAAAACGTTAGTTTGATGCACCAGTTTTTTCCAAATACCCATTCTACCCTTTTATAAATTATTTTACATACAAAATTACTGAAATAATTGCATTTTAACTCAACAAAAAAACATATTTCAGTAATTTTGAATGTAAAATTACTGAAATGATTGTTAAAAGAGGTTTTTGTTGAGTTAAAATGGGGTTATTTCAGTAATTTTGTATGTAAAATAATATATAAAAGGGTAAAATGGGTATTTGGAAAACACTGGTGCATCAATCAAACGTTTTCCATTTGGGACAATGACGGAAGGGAGGTTTTTGTTGAGTTTCTCAAAAGTTCAGGGGAGGTATTTGTTAAAACGAAATTATAGGGGAGGTTTTTATGATTGTCAAAAACTTTAGGGGAGGTTTTGTATTTTGCCCAAAATACAATCAGCCTAGGAGAAGGCACGAGATATTACCCCCCTTAGGACTGAACTATATACACCAAAACTGCCCAAGCCTGAGACCCAATTACAAAGTAGCCCAAAACAGATCTCCCCTTGACACCCCTTGCTTGGCTAGAGAATCAGCCATTGCATTTGCTGATCTTCTGACCCACTGAACCCTGACGGTCATATTCCTTGTCATCCATTTAACTTTCTTTAACAGATC